GCTTAGAAAAGAAGAACCAAGATGTAGCCAAAAAGGCTAACAAAGGTCGTAAGAGGATCGTGTTTGAATCAGGTGACATGGTGTGGGTTCACTTTCGCAAGGAGCAATTTACCACCCATCGCAAGACCAAGCTGATGCCGAGGGGTGATGGACCATTTCCAGTACTGGAGCGGCTCATAGACAATGCCTACAAGGTTGCCCTTCTGCCAGAATACCAAGTGCACAACAGTTTCAATGTTTGCGACCTGTCACCCTTCCCAACTGTTGTTGATGATGATCTGTCGAATTTGAGGACAAATTCTTTTCAAGTAGGAGAGAATGATGTAAAACGGATTACATCAAGGCCATTTGCGAGGAGCCAGGCTCAAGACCTTCAAAGGATGCAAGGGGTATTCATGAAGATGAAGGTGCTTGAGATGGTATTGACATCAAAGAAGGGATTACACGCCTTGAAAGTTGCAGCTGGACACTTTGGTGAGCCAGGGCTAATCGGCGGATCGCCCAAGTCCCTAGGCGATGACCCCAGCTGGCCCATTGTTCCAGAACGTGGCTAAGCTGAAGGACCACGCAGGATTACTCGCCAACTGGGATTGCCCAATCCACTAGGCGACCCGACCCAGCTCACCCTTTGGCATTTCGGGTCACTTTTGGGCCCTTTATTTCTAAAACTATAAATAGCTAGCTTAGGTTCATTTTAGAGGTAGATTATTATTGATGTTAAAAACTGAAAACTCATGTTTGAGTGTTGAGAGCTTGGTTAAGCTTTTGTTGCCGTTTGTTAGAAACGTTGGTTGCTTGGGATTTCGATTCCCTTGAGGTCATCGTAAGAGATTCGGTGCTTGATTGTGGATCAATCGATTGAGGTCTTTAGGTTGCTTCTGATTTCCTTTTCTTGTGTCAATCTATTTATCTTTACTTTCCATCTTTCGATTTCCGCATTAGATCGTAGTTCTTCTTGTGAGAATTACATCACCATTGATGGACTCACGGGCCGTAAGTTGGTTCCGTCATTGGTGTCCAAAGTTCGATGGTCTCTGATCCCATCCACGGTCGACTAGTACAGTCCGTGGTTGGACCTAAACACTGTAGGTCTTGCCGTAGGTGAGGGTCAGCAGCTATTTAGAGGAAAATAGTTATTAGGTCAACTTCAAACGGTCATATCTTTTAGCACAAAATGAATATGGTATCTCACGATCTATCAAATTAAAGATAATTGAATCCTCTTTCCAACGTCATCAAGTTTTCTAAAATCCAAACTCGAAGTAAAAATTTATGCTTGTTTTAGTGAAGCCCTGTCGGGCAGACCATGAACCACGACCCCAGCTGACGGCCGGTAGTTCAAATGACGGTCCATCAGTCCCACCGTGGATGACCTTTGTCAGCTTTTAAGTTAGGGTCATTTTGGTACTTTCCCTATGCGTTGGGACCCTTAAACTATGTCGTTTGATGCTTAAACTACGTCGTTTTATCAGTCTAAGCCTAATAAACTAGTCAGACATACCCAGAACCCTCATTCTCCAAATATCATCCAACTTAGAGCGAAAAAAGGAGAAAGAGGCGACGCATTCTTTGAAGAACAGGCACTAGCATTCTTCGAAGTTCAGCTCCAAAATCCAAAGGAGTTCTCCGTAGATTTCTTCACCAGGCATGTGGTATTTCACTAGTGGATTCCTTTCATCCACTAGGTCCCTAGAATTCAGTCAGTTTCTTGATTATACATAGTTTTTTTAGACCAAGGGTTTGTAAAATCTTGAGAATTTATTGTGATTTCAGCTGCTATAGAATCCATAGTCTAAATAACATGTTTTCTTGGAAACGTTGCTTAATTCCTTGTATAAAACTCATAACCCTAGTTTGTGTAAATTCTCTTAGTTCATAAATTATACTTGATAGGTTAGTTAAACAAAAAATCATTCTCCATATTTCGAATGTCACATTCTCAGTATATAAATATTGCATTCTCAGTTAGCATGTCAGTATTTTGAACTATGCAGTATTTTTGCATTTTAGCTTCATATGTATTCAGTTGGGAGTAGACTTAGCACCGAGTTGGACTAGGGTTCAGCGTACCCTCATAGTCCCAGAACTACATGTCCGCGTAGGATTATAAGTCTCATCTGTTGGGCATCAATATTAGTGATCACGCCAAAGTCATGCCTTTATACCCCTGGCAAGGTATATTCGGTCCTCTCATTGGGGCGTATACATTGGACTCCACGTTTAGCTCACATAGTTTATGTCGGTTAATAGTAGCTCCCACAGTCAGACTCTTAGTGCATTGACCAGGTTTTCAGCAGTTACTTCAGTATACAACTCAGCATGTTATCTTCATGATTAGTACTTGGTTATTGCATCCAGTTCAGTTTTCAATTATACTTTAGTACATATCTATATCCTTGTTCAGATTATATCATTGCACAGTTATGCATTGTTCAGCTTATATACTTTGTTCACCTTAGCATATTTGTATCTTGCATGCTCAATACATTCCAAGTATTGATGCATACTCTGCGCTACATCCTTTCATGATGTAGGTTCAGGTACTCAGCATCTAGATCACACTTAGATCGATTCTCGGTCCGCATTCAGCAGCTTCAGTGGTGAGTCCTCATATTCCGAGGACAATAGACATGCTTTCGTTTTAGTCTTTACTTTCAGTTTTCAGCTTTTATTTAGAGTCAGCTAGGGGTATGTCCCATCAACTCAATTCAGTTAGGGGATTTTTAGACATAGTAGTATATCCAACTTGAGTTGTTAAGTGGTTGTTTCAGTTATCACTAAACTCTTATGGTTTCATATTTACATTCAGACTATTTGGGTTTTGTCCCCACACCACATATTTATTGATTTAGCTTCCACATAGTTCATGTTTTACTTAGTTATTTTTAGTATGCTTGTGATATACCAGAATCAAGGTTAGCTTGGGGTCACTTGTGATCCTAGGTCCTGTGTTACGCCAAGGGGATAGCCTCGGGGTGTGACAACTAAGTTTTTCCGTTTGATTGTTTATACCATTTTTCTTCCGCTCTTTTTGATAACGCTCAAATTATTATAAAAAAAATTAGAAGAGTAAGCGCTCGTTAGCAATTAAAATACCCAACAAGAGAGTCAAGGTCGATTCCCACAAGAATTGATATAATGCGATGAATTTAATTAGAAAATTAAGAATGCAAACCGATTCATTGTAGCAATTAGAGATGGTGTATAGATGATTCCTCTAAATTTACGTAAAGAGCTTTGGTATCAATTATCACAATTAAATTAAAAATAGGGATTCAAATGAGTAAGATACGAAAAGAGTTTTGGTATCAATTATCACACTTTAGGGGGGGTTATAGGACTCCCGTTAATTTAAAAGTATGTGGTTGGAAATCCGAATATAGATTGGGAGGGGGGAGATTTTGGCCATTTTCTCCCACACAATCTATATCAATCAATTTTTCACAATCACTCATCGAAACCAACAATTCTCATATCAATTATATAGAGAAATGAGTCAATCAACTCGAAACTCAATTTCAAAATGGAGGTTTGAATCCGGAAAATAATACTTGAAAATGATGTTTAAGGCTTTAGTAACTCGTTAGTAATAGCCATTTCGGAAAAAGGATCAAAACCACTTCAAAATCACCATTTTAGATCAGAACTCAAGTTTTTGCAAAACCTTGTCATTTTCCAAATAAAATCCCAATATGTTAGAATCTATAAATAATCAGAGGGAAATGAAGTTTTAGGATCATAAAAGCTTACTCAAATGATTTTGCACAAGAAATCCTTTTGAAAATCGCCATAAAAAAAATTCCAAACTCAAGAATGAAAAATGAGACTTAAATCCTGAAATTTCCAGACCAAAAACCGTCTATGATGTCGCTTAAGCGAACATAGGTTCACAAAAGCGAACGTAGGCGTACTATTTTTTTTATAATTCGATATTTAGAAGTAATTTTGGATTGAGGTTAACACAGTCTCCCATATATAAATAAGTTCTCATTTTTAGTGAATTATTCATTTAGCTGCGCCAATAAGAGAAGATGGAGAGTTTTCCAATCTCTCCTTAGATTCATCGGACTTATAGAAAGTGAAGTAACATGGCGAATGCTTATTGGAGGTATACCAGTGGTTGGCACTCATATATTTCTCTCTTTGTGATGTAACATGGAAGATGTTTACCTGTTACATAATTAGCAATGTGAAATAACATAATCTCTTGAAAGTTTCTATTTAACCAACTCTTAACCCATAATTTCAATATTTTAATAGTATATAACAAATGAATAATAAACTTAAACTCATTTTTATATATCTCATTCATAGGTTCTTTATAAGAAAATTATCATCTTCGGAAAATAGAAGAACTACTATAAGACTAGTGTAAACAAAAATATTTTTCTTTTAATAATTGTGGATATAATCTCTATTTGTAGAAGATATAGGAATAACCAGTAAAAGACGAGTTTTTGCTACGAATATAACTTATTTAAAAAATAGATTTGTCACGTTTCTATTTCTTTTTACATAAATTTCCTTTAGCCAGATTCAAATTAATAAAAATAGTTTAAAATAGTTCAGATATTAGAATGAGTAATGGATGGTTGGTTAACCTTTCAGATTTTTTCCTGAAATGATTTAGTGTGAAAAAAATTCATACAAACATTAAAAATAAGTAATGAAGAGTTATTCATTCAAACGTTTTCCTAAAATGATTTTGTGGACAATATTTTATCGTTAATCTTTGAATATCGTGTCAATAACATGAATCTAAAAGTACTAATATGAAATAAAAAATAAATTAAAAAAGTAAAAATATAAAGAAAATCTTTTGTCTATTTTTAAAGTGTATTTTAATATGTACAATTAGTTAATAATTTGTTAATGAGTCAACTATTGCCAATTTTATTAATTTTAGGCTGCCACCTGGCAACTTGTGATGCTTCTACCCTTACTTAATAGAGAAGATATTTATTTATTTTTAAATTCTTCGTTTTGTTTGGGCGGATCCTAAATTCATTGGATTTGTAGAAAGTGGGTTATACTTTTCCTTCTCTTTCGAATTTAGCAAAAAATCATTTTCTCTCTCAGTGAAGTAATATGATGGATGCTTACTGGAGGTACTCTAGTGGTGGACAACAGGCAGCAGTGCTGCCGGCTCTTACTCCTCTCGTCGCAAAACGTCCCCGCAATAAATATGGTATCTTAATCAACTCTTTATGTGTTTAACTAATTTAAGGTTTCAGCATATCTTTTGATCAATTGGATGGATTTGTAGAAATTAGAGTTTATTCATTTATTTTTTCAGTTAAAAACTTAATTTTTATGACTTGTTAAAACTAGGGTTTACTCATATACTTTTACAGTGAAAAAATTAATTGTTATGGCTTTTAGATACTAGGGTTTATTCATTCAGTCAAAAACTTAATTTTATGGCTTGTTGAAACTAGGTTTTATTCATTTACTTTTTAAATTAAAATTTTAATTTTTATGTTTTTTTTTTGTGGTTGTGATATAGTTATGGTAGGAATTGAGAATACTCACAAAGAATGTCTTGTATACTCATCAAGAATGTCTTTGGTATTACAGAAGAAAGTGGAGAAAATAAAAAAAGTTGTAGTATATGTTTGTAGTCCCCCTAAATAGGGCAATGTGATTGATTTTTGGCTTAATACTTAAGTTATTTTTGTGGTCTTTATACATTAGATGAACTTTTTTGGTGTAAGGGCTTATTTAGTAGTAGTGAACCTATAATATACCATTGAGGTTGACAGTTAGTGTAAAACTAGCTAAAAGGGGGATATGATTCCATCACAATGTCACTTGGATGTGAGCAAGGGTTCCTGCATCATAAAAAATTGACACCGTCTCCCGATGTGGTGCAAGATAGGAAATGATTTCGACCATCATGGACAGATGATGATAAAGGGTGATAATCCAAGAGAGTTTGAATTTGGGATAGGTAGTTTGAACTAGTATTCAAGGGAGCAAGAAGCGGAAAAAATAACAAGGTCGTGCTTCACTTTGAGTGAAGCGAAGTGTTTGCTTCACTAAAGTGAAGCACACTTTTTAAAGAAAGAAAGACTAGCACACTTTTTAAAGAAAGACTAAAATAAACCTTCCACAACGACAATATATATATAAGAAAATGTTCAATTTAAATACTAACGTACGTATCATAAAATTCTTCACAATAGAAGAAAAAATCAATATTAAAATATAAACTTTAGCAATTCTTCCTTGACAAGCAGTTATTCTTCCTTCCTGATAATATACAACTCTCTCATTCTAACACTTCGGTCTTATTACTTGTTGCATCACGGGAAAAGCAGAAGTTCTCTATTGCAAAATGAAAAATTATGTTACAACCAAGGGTGGATCTAGGAGGTTGCCAGGGTATTCACCCGAACCCCCACGATAAAAAACTACATTATACATTTAAGGTATTTTTTATGGATTTATATAGATTTTGAATCACCTAAACACAAGATTGAAGGCTGCCTCAATGGTTTAGGGGTTCAAAATCTATCTTGAGCTTCCAAGTTCAAATTTCCTGCACTATATTTTTATTTTTCAAACTCCTTTAGTAAAATTTTTGTATCCGACACTGATTACAATTCATGTATTTTCATGAGAATGATACTTGCAGTAGGTTAACAACTTTAACTTTATTGCACTAAATTTCAAGTAAAATAATTCAATTATTATATAATATAATTTTAGTATAAAATTTATGTCAACTATTACCATCACTTATGAGTACAACCCAAGTTTTACAAAGTTAACTATCTACCTAAGTTAGACAATAACAAAATCTATTTTTTGCAGCATTACAGTAATTATGAAAAAAGTAATTAAAAATATGCAAAAAAAAATTCAAAAGAAAGAGATAAGTCTAAATCAAGAAAAGTACTAAAATAATTACTAAGTTCACAATTATATATATATATATATATATATATATATATTAGGAATTCTTTTAATACATATAAAAAACCTTTTCCAAAATTCTGTCCAATGATGTATGTGCAGGACATCTTTTCTAATAAGCTTTTTGTCCAATTTATTTGATTGAGTGAGAAAATTAGATAAGATAAGGATAAGTAGTTGTGTAATCTAACAAATATTGTGGCATTTCAATACATTCAACATATCTTTAACTTAACACCACAAGATTCAAAAGTCTTGTTTAGTCACGAGACAATCAAATTGAAATGGAGCGATCGAGAGTAACTAATTAACAATACGTAGCCGATGTTTTAAAACAGAACTAAATGAAGCGAGTAGCCACCCCTAATGAACAATAGTGATGCATACGTAATTAACTTGTTTAGGATTGATGCGTAGTACGTAGTTGATGTATGTATGAGTATATGAATAAATGATTTGAAGTTGCAACTCTGCATGACTACAAGTTTCTTTAAAAAAGTTTATTTAGGGTATAGATTGTTTCAAGTTTGAGGTTTGGTTGATGCTGATATTTGTTGCACTTTTTCTTTTGTTTGTTTGTTTGTGCTCATGACTAAATCATAGTATTTGTTTGTGCTGATTTTCCCCTTTTTAGTAGCTCCAAGTGGTCCTGGCTATTATGAAAGGGGAATGATGAGAGACAAAGATTCTATGGAAGCTTCTTATGAGTGCTACCTCCGTAATGGGGTACTTCATTTTTATTTGCTTTTGAGGTTGGTTCCGGAATAGTAGTGTATAGGTCTAATATAGTGGTAAATTAAAATTTGCAGCAAATTTCGTCCATGCATAGTGAAATTATGGGGATCCAACCCGGACCCGTTAGCCTTTAGAAGCAGGAATATTGTTGGAATGGTAGGTGGCAGACCAGAAGCTACCCTTCCTCCGGATGCTAGCAGTACATTGTTTGTAGAGGGTTTGCCTGCGGATTGTACAAGAAAAGAGGTGTCACGTATCCTTTCCTTGTGTGGAAATTAGCTTATTGTTTTATGGCCCATTCTAGTTTTTCCCTTTACTTTAGTTTTTTCAGATATATTCCGCCCTTTTGGAGGTTACAAAGAAGTTAGGCTGGTACCAAAAGGCTCGCCTCTATATGTATGTGCCTTTGACTCGTGAATTGTTGCATGCTGAACCTCCACTGCTTGAAAGCAATTGTCGGACACATGTTGCTGGTGTACATCCATGAAAGAGAAATTTGTTGCGATGGTGCAGGTTATAAATTCGACCATCATGAGTATGATTCAGTCCACTTAATGCTGCAATTTGCTCGCAATCCTTGTGTGAGGTCAGGTGGAGGGAATCGTGGAATATGTTGAAACTATTCATATTTACAGGTACAACCTTTGACCCTTAGCTTTATTATCTATGGCCATAACATATATATATATATATATGGTACAAAGTTGATATATACTTGTGTGTAGGACTTGCCCGTGTTTGGAGATACACGTTATGCCGGCTTTGGAGTTTCGTGATTCTCTGATCATGTACCTGTAATATTAACTGGAGCTGCTGCTTACAAGTTGGAAAAGTTGGTTGTCTGAATCGTTCAATTTCCTTTATAAATTCGCTACAACTTATGATGAAGTAGATATTATCAACTTGTGCTCTGTTGATGAAAGAACTGGGAGGCTTTTTGATTGTCTGATTGCTGTCATTTAGGTCTGGAGAACTTTTTAAAGGTTGATGGGACCAATCCTTGCTAGAATTTGTTGATGAGGGGGGCTGCGTTCGCGCGGCCCCTGCCAATTCTAATTTAGTCTTTTCTTTCTCCGTCCCCCCCCCCCCCCCCCCCCCCCCCCCTCCTCCCCTTCCTTTTTTTATTTTCTCT